CGGCCACTTCTGCCCTGGTTCGCGTGCTGCGGAGATCCTTCTGTCCTGACAGCATGTGAAGAGAGGCCGAACTCAGGAATCAACAGAATATATACCAGAAGACAGAAGGAAGGGGTGAGGTCAGCTGGTCATCTTTTCAGGTCCTCTCATTGGCAGACGCAAAATATGCTTTGTCACAATGACCCAGCGCTGGCCAGCAGAAAACCAAACAGGCCCATTTTACAACAAAACACATCTTATCACCCAAGTCATGTGTTTCTTTATGAAAGCCATACTTGTTGGGAATATAACAGTCATTATCCCATGACATCCTCAGAACTAGCTCACCAACAACGCCTAACTGTCTTCATACCCCCCCCAATCATCTCTGAACTTTTATTCACCCGAAGTAAGCTCACCCTTAGTCTAAAAGGACCATTGTCTCTCTTAACTGTGTGACTAAATTCTCAAGGCCTGCAGGATGCGCATAATTAACTTAGAACGAATTTAGCCACTATATCTAATGGTTAACCAAGAAAAACACTCAAAAGGGTAATCTTTTCACTCAAAACAGAACTCACAAGTAATTCTGCATTTTACCCCTCAAAAATAGCCTTTTGATGAAAAGGGTATAAGTGAAAGAAAAAGACTATTGCGCTAATCTACTTTAAAGAAAAAGGGAACATTGTTTCAGGAATCTATAAAAAACCTCTCTATATTTAAGAGGAAAAATGTATTTTGTTCCTTCAACTATTAATACACAGGAATGTATATACCCACACATATATTTAGGGATAACATGATGCAATACACCTCTTATATATTGGTGAGATTAAAATGAATATACCAAAAATATGCTGCATCACATCTTCTGCACAATACTCTTCATAAACTTCCGCAATTCCCCCCTTTTGCACTCTTTTAAAAGAGTGCAATTTACACAAGGCACTTGAAACATATACCCACTGTCATTCTTTTCTACTGTGTCCGTCCCCCAAACATTGTATAAATCCATCCGAAGCTGGTATTTAGAGTACTTGAAACCTTCATGGAGACAGAACACCACTTTCCATGGCAGTGAAGGAACCATGAGGGGGCAGCTGGGTGCTAGTGCAGTCTCCTTGTGTGGTGAATCATCAGCCCCCCCCCCTCAGAGGAATACGCCAACAAGGGGCAGCTGATAGGGAGGGGGAGATGCGGCTAGCCCTTCACGGGTGGAACTGATCAGAGAAGTAGACTCCTCTGCTGCCTCGACAAGTCCCCTGTGCCGTCCTGGCTTGCCGTGTCTTTGTCCCCCTGATCCGCTGACAGCAGCTTCTGGGCTGCCTGCTAGAGAGATGTCTTCCCGATTCTCCTTCTCCGGCCCGCTGATGATGCCTCCCGGGTCGACTGCCTTGACGAGGGCCAGGTCTGTCCTGATGTCGTCTAGGGTCCTCGCAGGTGTTTTCCCGACCGCACACTGGCTCCAGTGGTACCAGTTGTCCCCCTTTCCTTCTAGGCGGACGGCATGGGATGTCCTCTGGGTCACTCGGTCGGGGCCGGAGAGCCTGGGGTTGAGCCACTTGGTCCTGATGACTTTCAGCCAGACGAACACCGCTGTGTCGGCCTCGTGCTTCTCGGGTCCCCCTTTTGGCGGCAGCAACCTGTGTGGAGAAATCTGATACAACTCCCTCAAGCCTACGCTCAGCTGTTTTGACCCACTTGGAGCCTGTTGGTGGGGTGTCTTGAAACAACAGCCATCTGTGAACAGGTTTTCTAAATTAATTGTAGACCTCCTATCTGCCAGTACAGCTTCAGAATCTTAGTACTTGGATTGTGCCAACTAAATAAGAACCCCAACATCTTTAGGTAAACTAAATAACATATTTCAATAGCTCTGAATTTCTGACAAGCATCTGTGTTTATTTTTAAATGAAATCCTATTTAAAATCCAAATATAATATGAACTGCTAATGTTTCTGGTAAAGAAACACACTAATGTTATGGATTCAAAAACAACCAAAATCATGATACTAACAAAGTGAATGATTTCCTGGTGATACTGCTTTTACCTGTCAGTGCTTAGATATTATCACGCTGAAAAAATGAATACAGAATTCCAACAAACTGTCATCAAATGTCTTATAAATTTAGATGAAATGTATATCCTCATAATGACCTAAACAATAAAGTCTATGGCTTTTACTTCTTTACCAGGCTAGTTACATGATGTTGTCTAAATTAAATTCTGTCATTACACTACTATGTTTTAGCTTTAACTGTAATATGTTCTTTCTACATTTCAAACCTCAGTTACTTTTATACCTGTTGAAACATTACTCACAGGTCAACTTCTTCCGTATTCCATTCTGGAGTTACATCTCTCACAGTAGCCCCTTGGCCACTGATTCTGCATCTGTGTTACCTGCTATAACTCAACCAATATTAGAAACATGTCAACATTCACCAAACAGTATCTTATCCCCAGATATGGAGCAGGTCAATTCTAAAACCGTCAATCAATGGTCAGATTGAACAATCGAGTTGGGGCAGCCGTACACTCCCCCTTTTTACACATGACTCATGTGTAACCAAAATCCTGTATGGGAAGAAAACCTTCAGGTAATAATGGATTCTAAGAAAATATCAAACATTTTTTCCCAAATGTACATCCATCATTTCCACAGTAAACACTCCAGTGAAATGAAGTGTTTCTCTCCATCCTTCAGTCCTAAAAGAAACAGAATCTTCATGTTTTAGTTTGAGTTCCACATTCTGCAAACTGCCACCTCGTGTGGGAGTGCACAAGTGAGGTTTTCCAATTCTGTGGAATGTTATTGAGGCCCAGAAAAATGTGTTAGTCCAAAAACATGCTTGATTAGTCATTGTTTTAAATCATGCAGTTGCACTGATCACATGCAGACATACACTCACATTCACACTCACACTGTCAGGTTGTAAAGTCAAGTTTGGTCAGGTCCACCCCAGAGTCAGTCATTCACAGTGCCTTGTCAAGTTACACTGTCGGTCAGGGTCAAAGGTCAGTTGGTCTCAGTCTTTTTTGGCCATGTGTCGTGCTCTGCAGAGACTTTGACATTTCAGCATAGGCCAGTATCCTTTGTCTACACAAATATGTATATATGGAGCGCCATCATTTATTAATTCACAATTACAACTATAATGTTCAAGATATCTCTAACTTTTCATTGAGACAGCTGTTTCCCACATTCCCTGAAAAGTGTTTAGCCAAAAAATGTCACTTCCTTATTGTACTACTACTGCAGTTTATCAACACCTAATCTATATTCAAATGTCTAATAGATCTATTTCAGAAACTTGTGCACATAATTATCATCTTGAGTCAAACCATTACTAGGATCTGTAAAGCTCTGCTATGTATTTCATAACTCATATTCATTTATCTTCAAATCTGGTCCACTTAAAAACAATGTTAACCTCTTTAACAGTGCGTGGAACCTTGGGTGTCCGAATATGTAACAATCACTCCTTCCTTTATCAAGGATTCCAAAAACAGAAGTCATTTCATCAATGGTTTGTAGCTAAATTTAGGAATTATCACTTATGGTAGGTATGTTTTTACTCTTTAACATCTCTAAATGTCAGTTAATTACTAACTAAATTAATGTCCATTAGGAGGTGGTGACGCTAGTCTTCCAAACTCATAATCTGGTGCCGTGCGCTTCCTGTGAAGCTGCATAAGATTTTAAAAACCACTGCAGGGTGGGTCGAGTGACCCCTCCTCCCTATTAGTCGTCAATAATATGCACCATCACAATGGGTGATTGAAGGCCTCACATTATGTCCAATTACAGCATCAGTCTTCTTTACTCTAAAATTACTTTTTAAATAGGAATATTTAGAAATGGAACAAATATTCAATCTTCAGAAAAGTTCTTAACCAAAGTCTATCTAGTGAATAGCCAACATATTTGAAAATGTCAGATGTATAAAAATAAGCCTAAATACTCCCTTACCATCAAAGTCCAAATCTAGACATAAGGTGAACAGTTTTGGTAATGGACAATTTAACCTAAAAACAAAACAAAATTGGACTTGTGTCCTTGTTATTTGTTCTTCAAAATACATTAGCAAATACCTTGTGAAGTATTCGCAACATAACCAACCCTCTCTAGGATATAAAATCCATTCATCTTTTTACTCATAGTTAGTTTATATGTCAAGATTATTAGGTGTGACCTAATAATCAGATGTGTTGTTTGCTAAACAAGGATATTAAACTTTAATCTTTTCAGCATTCCAGACCATCGTTTAAACAAGCAGCCTCCCTTCTCAAACACTAAACCTATTGTTGTACACCACCCTCTGGAAAACTCTTGCACAGTTATGCTGTAAAATCATCGCATAATTTCTTCAGAGTCTGAACAATCTGAGACAAGCCTGTCTCAGAACTTGTCATAATGTGAACAGTCAGTGATGTGTTGTCTTCTGCAGCTGTAGTGAATTGGATCAATGAAACTCTTGTTTGGCACTGGGATGTCCTGAGGGGGAAGGAACCTCTGGATCAATGTGGTACAATCAGCAGACACACGTTGTCCTCTGCACAGCAGGAATCCCCAAAAACTGCAGTTCCTCTTCACACCACTGTTGCCTCGGCAACAAGGCCCAAGCAAAATGTCAAACCCTCCTCAGAGATGCGTTCTTTGCACAGTTCTTCTGTTTCTGTAGTGAGCAACTCTTCACCAACACACTGATTCAGAGTACAGCCCAAAGGTGGCGCACATCTATCCAGTGCTGCTGTAATCACAGCAAATCAGCAACTGGAGAAAAACTCAATTTAAATCTCTCCCCCCAAAGGGTTACAAAATAAAACGGCTGAATGTCTATATGGTCAGGAATGCTGAAACATGTGAATGTTAAAACAAACCAATGGCAGTAGTCTACCCAGATTCTTTACTCCATTAAAAGTAGTAAAACCACATCGTAAAATATCTTGTCTAGTTGAAGTCCTGCTTCTAAAATTCTAGTCAGAAAAAAATAAAATAAACTTCATCTTTAAAATCTTTTTTTAATTTGAAACCAAAAAAGGTCTTCCTTCTCCACCCCGATCCTATTTTTACCTCAAAGTCCAAACAAACTGATGATTTATCTTTAAAAACCATGAGGAATGACAGTTCTCATAAAACACTATTCTTCCTTACTTGACTTCCAAATCAAATGAGCAAAACAGGAAAACCTCCTTAACCACTTGCCTATTCTATTATTTTTCAAATTGTTTATCTAAGTTGTGTTACAAGCAGGTTAGATTTGTAACAGAATACAAAACTAACTGTATTTAGCGCTATATTTGAAAAACAAGTAATCTGATTACAGTTACTGAATATATATTTTGAACAGTTATTATTGGTGGAAAAGTTTCCTCACAAAATGTAATCTCCATTACTAAAGCTAAAACCTAAAGAAATCATCGCGGAACAGTTTTCTGTCCTTACCACTTAATTGTTTCAATACAAACTAAAAAGCGTTGTGAAAACTCCCACTCTTGAGAACATCTCAACACTTTATTCCATCCGAGCACGAATGTTTATGACAGACACGGCCTATTAATCCAAAACGGCCTTTAATGGTATCAATTGTGAACTTTCTTAATATGAATTGTAAATGCAACGTATGTTCTCTTTGGAACACAGATAGGACAGTAGCTGCTGAAACTGGTTAATAGCAGCTTTCTGTCAACCTATATAAGCATGTTGTTCTTATATTTTTACTTCATGTTTACTCACAAAACAATATAACATTCTTCAGACTAGTAGTTAACTTTATATAAGTTGTACTCTCTCTGAACTCTTCAAAACATCTACTTCTCCTGTCTCTCTCTCTCTGTGCCCTGCAGCTGCCTGCTCCTGCACAAGCTTCTCTCATCAATCACCTCTCTGTGTTTAGCCAACAGTGTGCTTTTAGCCTCGTGCAGCACCTCTGTTATGTTTAAACATGAACAGATCCCTCCTGTTTACTTTCTACTCTTTCTTCATAAACACAATTAATGTCTACTAATGATATTACAAAAACTACCTAATGACAAATAGCACAAAATTCACAATGCAATGCAATAGTAACAATCAGTTCTCAAAACTTCTCATGAAAACCACAATGTGACGTAACTGCATCCCACAAAAACTATGCTAAAAACGACAAATTATAGTTTCTTATTTATTTAAATATCTACGACACATTGATCTATTAATTTTCAATGTTATTCACTCCAACTTCAGACCAGTCGTTGATTATTCACTCCTTGTTTTAAATTCAACGCTCAGCAGCCATTTTTGAGGCATTTTGAGAAGAAGCACAAGCAGTCACACTTCTGGCTGTTGCTTCAGCAATTAGAGGAAAGCTGTGAAGAAAAAGGGGGGATTTCTTTAACCCCTGGTGACCACGCATTTCTTTATCTGACTTTTCTCCCTTATCTATTAGTAATTATTCCCAGAAAATTATTCCCCGTACAGTCTATCCAGCTTTATGGTGCGATGTTTATTTCAACAGATAACATAATCTCTTTATCGTCACCTTTGGCTAGATAGATTAACCCCACAGAACAAGAGAACGAGATTCCGGTCCTTTCAAAATGGTTATTTGAAATTTGCGTATCTCCCCTTGGATTCACTTATAATGCAACTGCAGCTCCTATGAGACTGGAAAGCATTATTCAATTTAGTTCTGGATGGAATCATTAGAAACCACTGGATGGAATCATTAGAAACCACTGAACGCCCCCGAGAGTTAGCCGTGTCGAGTTCTGAAAAAAACGCACGGGGCCTTTCACCTTCTTCTTACAGTCCTCATCGCTTCACATGGAGCTAACGAGTTAGTCGTGCGATTCTGAAAAATCCACGAGGTTCCTAACCGTTGCTTTATTAATCTTATTATTCTTAGTTAGTTACCTACCTATGCTAAAATATGCATTGCATTATCTTTAGCGTGAAGACTAGACACTGAGAAATATTCCTGACAACTCTAAAAAATTTGAATATAGCCAAATCACAGATTTTGAGTGTAACGGGTATCCGTGCTTACCTGATATTTTGTATAGAGCTCTGTTTTTAGTTGTCAGAAAGTATTTCGAGGTGTCACCCCTGGACAGCTTCGTCCGCTGGCTGCTGATGTGACTCCCGCTGAACGCCCACTCGTAAACGTCGGGGTCACCACTTGTTGGAGTTTTGAGGTTTTTACAACCCCACTCGGCTCCGCGTGTTGTTTTGACGAGTCCTGCTTAAAATCATAACAGGAAGGAAATCAGACAGAGAACACCCAGATACCAGTTTAAAACAATCTGTTTTAATTATCAAAGGTAATAATACAATGCACTATAATACATTACAACACCATATAATACAATATACTAAAATCATATTGTAATGTTTTAAGAAGTAGCCGGCCACTTCTGCCCTGGTTCGCGTGCTGCGGAGATCCTTCTGTCCTGACAGCATGTGAAGAGAGGCCGAACTCAGGAATCAACAGAATATATACCAGAAGACAGAAGGAAGGGGTGAGGTCAGCTGGTCATCTTTTCAGGTCCTCTCATTGGCAGACGCAAAATATGCTTTGTCACAATGACCCAGCGCTGGCCAGCAGAAAACCAAACGGGCCCATTTTACAACAAAACACATCTTATCACCCAAGTCATGTGTTTCTTTATGAAAGCCATACTTGTTGGGAATATAACAGTCATTATCCCATGACATCCTCAGAACTAGCTCACCAACAACGCCTAACTGTCTTCATACCCCCCCCAATCATCTCTGAACTTTTATTCACCCGAAGTAAGCTCACCCTTAGTCTAAAAGGACCATTGTCTCTCTTAACTGTGTGACTAAATTCTCAAGGCCTGCAGGATGCGCATAATTAACTTAGAACGAATTTAGCCACTATATCTAATGGTTAACCAAGAAAAACACTCAAAAGGGTAATCTTTTCACTCAAAACAGAACTCACAAGTAATTCTGCATTTTACCCCTCAAAAATAGCCTTTTGATGAAAAGGGTATAAGTGAAAGAAAAAGACTATTGCGCTAATCTACTTTAAAGAAAAAGGGAACATTGTTTCAGGAATCTATAAAAAAACCTCTCTATATTTAAGAGGAAAAATGTATTTTGTTCCTTCAACTATTAATACACAGGAATGTATATACCCACACATATATTTAGGGATAACATGATGCAATACACCTCTTATATATTGGTGAGATTAAAATGAATATACCAAAAATATGCTGCATCACATCTTCTGCACAATACTCTTCATAAACTTCCGCAAAACGCACCGGGTTCAACTGTCTTTCTTGTAGCTCTGTAGCCCCCCCATCCACGAATAACTTTTCCACGTCAACAACACACGGAGTTAACAAAATAATACAAACATGGGTTAATGATTAGAGGTAACTGAGTTATTTATTTTGTTAAAGTTTCAGCTATTCTGTTATCACATTATTTAATACGATGTGTTAAAACATTGTTGTTTCTTTTGATCTGAAATATTATTTATTTAAATAAAAAGCTATGTTAATTCTGTTCACAATTTGTTTAGTTAATTTAATAATATATGTATTTTTGAATCAAGTATTCATCTTTATTGTCTTCATTGTTAGTTTCCACATGCCTAAAACAACCTCAAGCTAAATCTAAAAGTTGATGGCTAAATAAGAGCGTTTGAGAAATTGTTTAAGGCATAAGTCCGAATAGTCGATAAATCGTTTCATTAATCGATAGATTAATCGATTATCAAATTAGTCGTTTGTTGCAGCCCTAATGTCAACCCCATTTTCATGTTGTAACTCTAGTAATCCATAGTTGTCCAAAAATGGTCTGTCGTTCTGTGCCAAGTAGTAAGTAGACCGGAATACAGCAGATGTAGCTTTCAGCTTTGATGCATTCATATTGTCACAGACCTTCTCAAGTGTTTCCTTTGTTGCGTTGTCTTGAATCCGCTGTGCAGCAGTGTGTCCATTTGATTCTTTGTGTTTAATAAAAAAAATTCTGAGGGACGTCAACATGCCGCTCTTGTCTCTTCCACTGTAAGTTACGGTGTAGGAACGCCATTCATCTGCCAATTTTGAACCTTGCGTTTTGAAGACTGATAAATCCGAATTGGATGAACAAACTTTGCAGCCCAGTTTCCCAGCTTTGCAGTCTATCCACGGGTATGCCTCTTGTTTCCTCCGCCACATCTCCTCCGTCCATACCTCTGGGAAAGGTGAGCTTGAGCTAGCCAGGGGAACGTTGCTAGCATAGCTAACGTTGACGTTAGTGCTAGCATTATCCACATCTTTTGGCGGCTCTTCTGATGATGTACTAGTAGCAGCTTCACTTGTAGCTTCGGTGCTGCTAGCCTCTTTCTGTTTGTGAATGATATTCTTTTTAGAAAATAAGTCAAGTATAGAATGTTTGCCTGCCATTGTAGAGCTTTCTCGTTAGCGAGGGAAAGAGCTGCCGCCAAATCACTGACACACCCCCCAACCCAGTCTCATGGCATTTCGTGTTCACCAACACGATTTCCCCCTTTTTTTCGTGTTGCACAGCACGATTTTAAAAGCAATGTATTTCTACGGGTAATGTGTTTTGTGCCTGCAGCACGTCTTTTTCTCCGGTCGGGTCGTGGAAGACCGGAAGTTGTGTGGTTCATAAAAACAGGTTCTTACTCAATATCAAGCCACATTTATTGCTTTTATTTTAAATCGTATAATTTCGGACTTTTGTTGCCGTCTGTGAGGAAAATAAATGGGGCTCAGAGCCTCAGAATACTGAAATCTGTATTTTTTAAATCTTTTTTTCCTTCTAATTTGTTATTCTTTTCAAAATAACACACTGTTATTTACTCACCAATAACACACAATTATCCTTGCTTTTATTTATTGGTTTAATTCCATAATCTCTGGCTTTTTTGGCGTCCGTCGGGAACTGAATTTTGAAATAAAAATAATCGGAAACAGACGTAGGCATTTCGAGCAATTACCCAAGATCCTCAGCTATGGTTTAAGCTCGCTGATTGGATGTATTAGCTGCAATGCATGCTGAGATTTGGTATTTTTATGATATGAAATCCGTAAAACATTTTTAAAAGAATAAAATAATACTTAATTCCGAGTGTTCATGCTTTTCTCTTTGAAAGTCATCACATAACGGCATTGTAATACACGGTTCGGCTGCATTAAATATTACAGATCTGCCGTAGTTCTTTATTTATAGAGCCCTGATGAGAAGACCTTTGGAAAAACGGAAGAAATGCCGCCGAAACTGAATACTTGACGTGAATCATAAATATATCAACAATTAAAGGGATAGTGGAAATCCGCGAATTTTGGGTTTAACTTGTGTATTTTTATTAAAAATAAGCATAATAAACAATTTTTTTTAATTTCATACGCCTAGTTTCATTTTATTTTCAATTTTACTGCGCCCTCTCAATGAAACGAAATACTTCGGGAATCGTCGGGAATCTTCGGGTGATGACGAGAGCATAGGAAGACGGGCACAAACAATGGCGGACATTCAATAGCATTTGCATGTGAATAGCCGACCTTTATTATGGTGAATAGATGTGTTTTGTATGGCTGTAGTGCGACAGAAAAATTCTACGTGACACAACGACATTGGATTAACCTTGAGATGCGTTTTTATTCCGTTGAACACAACTTTTGATCACAAATCAAAAAAGGTAAGACGTAATTATTGTAATATTTTTGGAACCAGATGTTGTTTACTTTCTCTTCTCTTTATCTTGTTTGTGCAGTTAAGATAGTAATAAGGGCATTTCTACCGTGTGTTGTGTGTAAAAAAGCGTTAGCATTAGTTAGCATTGTTTCGCTCAATGCTAATTCAAAGGCTTGGTATTACTCTTGTGTTTTTTCTAGCTAACAATTGTTCTTATTGTCAGTTAGCGGAGTTTCTTACCTTTAAAAGGGTATGAAACATTAATAGTTTCATAAATGTTAAGAAGCCCTGAGACATGTGAGAGAAAAAAAACTGTGGGAGGGGTCCACTGGGGGGACCTTCGGGCTTAACTGGTTAACAATGATTAATATTTGTAAAGGCTACAGGTGATCTTAAGATGCGTGAGCTATGCTTAGGGACCTACCAGTCAAGATTATTTGTGCGTAGGGGTGCATCATCTGGCGCCTGGTCCTGGTCATCCTCGCCATTGCCCATGCCGTGAACCATCACCTCGGGCTCGGGCTCGAACAAATAAGGACGTAATGGTCCATCGTCTGGCTCAATATTGTCACCATCGTTGCTTACTGAACCGGATTCAGATTCAGTTCCTAAAACGACATTTTCGTAGGAAAGCCGAGAGGATGTTTCTGACTCGCTATCATCACTGGATACCTCGTACAATCCTTCTTCTTTGTCTGGTATATTTGCCCTTTGCGGAAGTTTATGAAGAGTATTGTGCAGAAGATGTGATGCAGCATATTTTTGGTATATTCATTTTAATCTCACCAATATATAAGAGGTGTATTGCATCATGTTATCCCTAAATATATGTGTGGGTATATACATTCCTGTGTATTAATAGTTGAAGGAACAAAATACATTTTTCCTCTTAAATATAGAGAGGTTTTTTATAGATTCCTGAAACAATGTTCCCTTTTTCTTTAAAGTAGATTAGCGCAATAGTCTTTTTCTTTCACTTATACCCTTTTCATCAAAAGGCTATTTTTGAGGGGTAAAATGCAGAATTACTTGTGAGTTCTGTTTTGAGTGAAAAGATTACCCTTTTGAGTGTTTTTCTTGGTTAACCATTAGATATAGTGGCTAAATTCGTTCTAAGTTAATTATGCGCATCCTGCAGGCCTTGAGAATTTAGTCACACAGTTAAGAGAGACAATGGTCCTTTTAGACCAGTGTTTCTCAAACTTTTTCACACCAAGGACCACTTAACCAATAAAAAAACACTCGCGGACCACCTAACTCCACAAATATCCAAAATCGTATCGTTTTCCTAGAACAGATTACAAATCGCCTGGAAATGGTACAAACAAGTGGCAGCAAGTGGGATGAAGGTGTTGCGCTGGGCTATATCATGCAATCGAAAGTGAAACTTTAGCGCGCTCCATTGCGGAGATATTCCCGCGAGAATGCGGAAAACTTAAATGTATTTATTTCAAATGTGAAATGTTACCAATATACTCGCGGACCACTAGGGGGCGCTCACGGACCACCAGTGGTCCGCGGACCACACTTTGAGAAGCACTGTTTTAGACTAAGGGTGAGCTTACTTCGGGTGAATAAAAGTTCAGAGATGATTGGGGGGGTATGAAGACAGTTAGGCTTGTTGGTGAGCTAGTTCGGAGGATGTCATGGGATAATGACTGTTATATTCCCAACAAGTATGGCTTTCATAAAGAAACACATGACTTGGGTGATAAGATGTGTTTTGTTGTAAAATGGGCCTGTTTGGTTTTCTGCTGGCCAGCGCTGGGTCACTGTGACAAA